TTTCAATCCGCATCCTGACTTTGCCACGCCTTTTATTACCAGCTGCATGTCGCCTGGAATTCCGTTCCTTCGATCGAAACTGTGGAGAGAAAAATAAAAAAAAAAAAAAAAAAAAAAAAAAAAAAAAAAAAAAAAAAAAAAAAAAAAAAAAAAAAAAAAAAAACCAAAGAAGAAAAATGCCAGATGGTTGTGAGTGAAAGGTCCTACTCGAAGAAGATTCAGTAATTTTGATCTCTCTAGATCTCAAGAAGATGGTTGGTGGGTGGTTGGAAGAGATGGTGGTCAGAGGCCACGCAGGAAGAAGAGGCGAAGGATCAACTGACAGCTGCCTGGCTGCAGTGAATGTCTCAACATAATTGTTTGACTCCATGGCATAGAGACTACTTGCAGCCTATCTCTCGCCTTGGGATTTCACAGAAGCTCAGAAACGACTGTCCCTGTGAAAGGATACAACGGATCTGGGCTACCTGATGGATCCAACCAACTGCGGGCCATGTTGGGAGGCAGGGTGGGAGCGTGGCAAGCAATGTCGTTTCCCAGCTGTACGGTTCCAGGTGGAGCAGGGCCGAAGGACGATCAAGTTTATCTGCGATTATTCATACGCCGCCCCGAAAGCGACCGCGGCGGCCTTGATACATTCGACCTGACTCGATAGCTGGAGAATTACACGCCCCCAAGCACTACCTTCTCGCAGATGGCAGTCTCTGCTGTCTAGAAACAACACGTGAGCTGCAAGATAGCTTAATCTCTCCGCATGGCTGTCCATTGTGAACCCGCATTTTAGAGCAGGCTGCAAAGCTGATAACAATAATGACTTGGCTTCATGGATGTAACCGCCGCACACTCGACCAGCTTGAAGGCATCGCCTGCACAAGGGCTTTTTCCATTCAGATTTATTGTGACGATGGTTACCGACATAATGATCGGAAGGAGGTGAATCGCACAGCGCCACAGGGCTGGCTGTAAGGACCCGGTTACCAGTACCTTCTTGTGCTCGCGCGGCCCGGGTGCGGATGAGGTAGCGAGAGGGCGGAAACTTTCGGTTCTGCGTAGGAAGGGTAATGGGATTAGCATGATGAAGGTCCCTGTGTACAGGTTCTCGTGGTAGGCAATTGCGCCGAGAAAGAAGGATAAGGTTGATGACAACGGGAATCACAAGGATGACAGTAGCAGTTGGTCAAAAACTTACATATGGAGGGTTTGCGATCTTTTATGATGCCTTTCTCGAGACAGTCGTTCCTCCATGTTTGTTCCTGCAGTACAGGGGGCGTAGGCGTGGAACGCAGTTTGTGACTGATCAATTATCCATTTTGTCAGAGAGACACACATGGCGTTGATTGGAGCTGAAAATAGAAAATGGTTCATAACATTCTGACTTTCCGGGGCGCCAGTTTCACTCAGAGATAGTAACAGGTAGGCAGCCGCTGTTGTTTCGGATTGCTACCAAATCACTCGGTACGGAATAGAGGGGTCACGTCGGATATTCAAAGGCCTTCTGTCATGACAACTCGTACGCAAAGGGGCCAGACAGAGGGGAGGAGAAAATCATTCCCTCGCCCGGAGAGAGCTGCCCATGGAAGCGAGAAGTAATGGAGGCATTGAGGAGCTTTTATTAGGTAGTTGGAGTTTGTCAGCTCAGCTGTGGCCATGAGAGAAGCAGCAAAAGGTTATATTAGTGGGAGAGAGGTAGGGACACTAAACTATATTTGTACAACCGTAACTCCATGGCGATTGGCCTGGCGATACAGGCACAGTCTCTCCGTGTCAGCTAAACCGCCTTGGGTCTAGTGCTGATCACTGTCAACCTTAATTCTCCAAGATCCCGCCTAAAACGGGGGGGGGTCGCATTGCTGATCACTTGACCTGCTTTGTCTGCGGCCGTCCCTCCCCCCATCCATTATCCCTTGATTGAATCTCTCGCCATTCAATTACTGCAGTCATCTGGCCAGAAATTTTTCGAAGACCACAAATGGCGAACTTATGGCGTCTTCGCCATATGCGCCCCAGTATCTCATCGCCGCATCCAACGGGCTTGTTATTTTGCTTACTCGGTCTCTTGTATCTACTCTCGATCGGCTATTATCGGTCGGCAAGTCACCGCGATCCTACCTCCTTCTTCTTCGACCCCAGTCGAGCCTACGAGAAACGGTATTCCGCGCACCGAATTCAAGAAGCAAAGTCCTTTCTCACCACTGCTGGCGACTTTCCCTCCGCAGCAAAGCCATCCGGCAACACCCAGGCTACGATTTGTGTGGGGATAGTGACAGTTCGCCGAAGGAAAGAGCAATATGTTGGGTTGACAGTAGCCTCTCTCCTGGAAGGCCTCACCGAATCGGAACGAAACACAATATTCCTTGATCTACTCATTGCACATACCGATCCCTTCGTTCACCCAATATTCTCCGAGAAGTGGGTAGAGACCCTACCCGACCGCGTCCTCCTGTATTTGAACGATGATAACCCCGATTACGAGCAGATCCGCGCCTGGGAGGATGGAGGATGGTATCGTAATAAGACTATCTACGATTTTACACATTTGATGAAGGATTGTTATGAGACTGGTGCGGATTACGTCGCCATGATTGAGGATGATACTTTGGCTGCCAAGGGCTGGCTTTCTTCTACTTTACACGCCCTTGAAGTAATCCAGCAGCGCACAAGAGCTGGACAAGACTGGGTCTACCTTCGCCTCTTCTATATTGATGACCTGCTGGGTTGGAACTCGGAGGAGTGGCCGAGATACCTCGCGTTCGCTTTCCTACTTTGGGCTGCTCTAACGGGAGCCATAGTATCTGCAAAGAAAAGGTTCTTCAAGTCAACTCCAGCAAGTGCTATCTGTATGATCTCTTTTTGTTTCATTCCGGCGTTCATCGGACTACACTTCATGGCAGGGCGGCAGACAATGTGGCCGATTCGTCCGGGTGTCCACGAGATGAACAAATACGGATGCTGCTCGCAGGGCCTGGTCTTCCCGCGTTCGATAGTGCCACGATTTCTGGAACATACCGATCTTACAACCGATTGGTTAGTTGATAAGCAAATCTTAAAAATTCCCCGGCCCCGAGGTTACGGATCATGCCGACGACATCATGACGTATACACGCGGTTCCAACGAGCTTTGCCGAAAACGAAGTGATATGGTTATTGAAACTCGTCTATACCATAATTCCAGCACCACATTCGTATTACGATGTGTTACATGAGCAACTCACAGATTTTTATGTCATGGAAGGGATCTTGGTCATTGCGCTATTTCTTGTTGCCTTAAGTCATAAGCTGGCCATAGGTAATGCATATCACTGAACCATGTTTTCATTCTTCAGATACATGTTCTGACGCTAATAACATATGAATTATCATAGAAATCAACGCCTGCTGGTATTCCAAGTAAAGCTAGCGTGCTAGTCCGACGCCGCCGTAGTTAATCACTGCTTCCTGAATCAGAAGGACAAATAATATTGGCAATCACACTTTTCGACAATCCAACCTAATACCCAAGTGCGGTATGTGTCCTAGAACAGGCTAAACTATTCTTATCGCATCACTAAATTCGATAAACTGGGCAGGGCAGCGTGGTAGAACAAATCCGTGGGGGACGCCCACCGGCCTACCGCGATCGACCAATATAGCCTTCAAAATGCGGACCACTGGATCTAAGCCTTCGTTGGAGGAACGGCGGAGAGGCGAGATTGCCCTCAACAAGTTCGCCGAGTACGCTGAAAAGCAACAGGCCCAGCGATCGGCACAGTATTTGCCTAGTGACAGCGGCTACGAAACAGCCAGCGCAGCTCCAATACCCGAAGACCATGCCGAATTAGATTTTCTCAACCAGCTAGATCTCACGGATGCTCCGAAATTGATCCAGTTGAAGAAATCACTCCTGGGCACTGGTAAACAGCCAGACCATAATATCCAAGTCCTGGCCAGCATCCTAGAAACGCGCATTGACGAAGGACATGATAAGACTCTCTTCAATCTGGGTCTTGAGGATGGCGGGGATTCTATGTCTTTTGATCTTCTTAATAAAACTGATATCCAATACTATGCAGGTAGAGACTATTTCCCCTTATATTTTTGGTTAATGTGTTGCTGATACTATGTCTATCACGAAAGCAAGTATTTGGAAAGAACAGAAGCAAAGGTTGAAATAGAACTGGAAGAGGCCTTTTAGATACCTAGCCTCTTTGCTGTGTTCCGTGGCCTTGCCAACTAGTTCAATTCAGTTCAATTTAATTCATATTCTTACACCCGATCGAGCCGGCGTAGTGAGATGCTAGCTATGCAGGTGCTTCACCGTTTGAAGCAAAGAATATGGCCCCGAACGCCCTCAATGCCCTCTAACTCGCAGTAAACACACATAAACACACGTAGAAACATGTAAGCAACGCGAACAACGCATGCCAAGACGTAGGAAGGTCGTCGCCGTAGCTAAACACAACTGAATAACAAAAGCAAATGTAGATGTAAATGAGTGTTGCAGCTGCAGCTGCCTGCGAGTCACCATCCTCCTCGTTCTTCGTCCATTATCTTGCTCCCAACATGCCTATTCCTTCTGCTTGTATGACCTTCCCTGCTGACTCAAACAGGGCGTGTTTAGTTCCTTCTACCAGCGTCTTCAGCGCCTATCCCCATGGCCCTGAGGCCTACGTGTTCTTGGCTTGGGTCGAGGTCAGGATCAGGATCGAGTTCGATGCATGCTTCAGGGGATGAATGTATCAGCAGATCCTTGTTGATGATGCTTTGGACCGAGGATAGGACCAGAAGCTGGGGGACTGTTCGTATATGTCTGAAGTCAGTCCTTATGATTTGCTCTTGTAGCCTCTTGGTGAAGACGTTCCGCGCTGAACTGCCCGAGCAAGTGCCAACTAGTCCATCCGACCTTTTGGCGATTGAAGCCACATAAATAGATGGCTTTCGGTGGTCCGTCGACATAACACGGTTCATATACATGAGAGCATCCGTGATCATTTTCATACATAGCTGATGATCCTCCCAAGCTTCCTTGAGTACTGCTAAAAATCTCTCCTCTGCATCCCGCCTCTTATTAGTATGATCTTGCGCATCTACCAGCTGCTTCACCAGCAGCAGCAGACTAAGCAAGATAACCCCAGTCACTAACTTGTAGACTTCTGTATCTGACCATTCATGTTCTAGTTGTTGAATCCGTTCCTGTTCCGTTCCACGCATTCCCAGGACAATATTATATGTTGAGCATTCATGTAGGCTAGTCACGCGCTGCGCTCAGGCCGCCCACACAAAGCACCTCTTCGCGTTGCTTTGTTTCGCTCTCCTAGATAGCTCAATTCAGCTGACACTTTTGCTTCGCGTTCGTTCCGTTCGTTTTGCTGCTTTCGTTGCTGTAGAACGCTCCTCAAGATTGTAGGACTTGCGATATATCTCCTCGAAAGACAAAGCTGAGGCATCTTTGGTGTGGCTTTTCTTGAGCGAGGTAGACAACTCGGCCCAACTTGTTTCGAAGTCGTTCGTTTTGCTCCCTGCCATGGGCCTGCGCGGAGCAAGGTTCTTATTCCTTGCTCGTAGAGGCATATTTGCAAACTCCAGCAAATACCATCCAGCTCGACAGATGATTGACAGCTCTGATGCGTGGGGCAAATCTCGCCGCACAGAACAGTGACGTATCCGGATGCTCGAACAATGCAGCCAGACGAACAGCTAGGTTATCGGTTTATGTCCCAAGAATCCACCAGTTCGATAGTCGAGGGCCTTGCCACACTCATCGAATCTAGAGATCCTTGTAGGTAGCCCACCGACAACGCCTCTCAGGCAGGTCGTATGCTCCGTTGCGTCGTGCAGAGGCCTCCGTAGCGATCTATTTGGTAAGTGTGAGATAGGATGCAGGAAACGAAGAGCAAAGAGCGTACTAACTTGTGTGTTAGATACATGAAGAAGACAGAGGGAGAAAACGATGCTCGGATTGGAGGGGGTGGAAGGTGTTCCTCATGAACGGGAAGGAACGCTACATCGTATCCGTAGAAAACATCGAAAAGGAGCCAGTATATGCCGGAACTCCGAGAGCAGAGTGGCTTACCGTTGGAATTCCGAGCAAAGTGAGCAAACTAGCTTCGTATTCTGACCAATCCTCTGCCGTGGTAGTTAACTAGTACACTTCCGCTGTGTATTACTAATATGACCCGAGGGTTGCGGTCGGAGAAGGCGATCATCGAGTTTGCTCTGCAATGACTGATGACTTCTACACTTCGTTAATTATCTATGAGATATCCTTCTCCGCAGGTCTCAAAGTGCGAATTACATCAAAATTAGATCAAGAATGGCAAAAAGACAGAGTCGCCCGCCTCGAAGAAAAGCATGTAGTAACTGCATTAAGTCCAAGGTACGGTGCACTCTAGATCGACCCGCATGCTCTCGATGCAGGGTGACCGGCCGAAACTGCGATTATGGTACTACGACTCTGGCTTTGGGGCAGCGAAATTCCTTTCGCCTACAAGAAGGACATAGTGGAGAAGCCGGTTCGTTAGAGAGTCAAAGTGTAACTTCTCCTTCAGTCCCAGAATTCACTTCAAGAGTGTTGCAGACGCCACCATCTTTGTCATATACTCCCAGTCCTTCTGTCAACAATATCATATGGGACCCGCCAACCCAGCAGTCTCAGGAGCCTCCCATCGAAACAACGTCGAAAGAAAAAGAACTGAACTTCGAAGCGACCCATTTGACCCCGAGCTCTATTGCAGAGGATATTCGCGACCGATGGCTTAGGCCGTTTTTCCTGCCTGCGCACGGACGAAGTGAAACTCCAAAAGTCTGCCATCCTTATACCCTGCAATTTCTTGCACGGATCTTGAAGACATATCCACGATATATGTTGAGAGATGGACGACCCCCTCCTATTATTCACCATGTCCAGGTCAGGGAGAATAAGACGCCTCGAGCACTAGCGAACTGCTACAGTCTAGTACGTATGTGGGAACAGGCAGTCCCGGGGAGCGAGGAGATAGTCATGAATACAATCGCAGGGGAGATGGCAAGGCTCGCCAGTGAGGTATGCATATCCTTAATTGCACATGCGATAAAGTTATGAAGCAAAGGTGGTAACAAGATTAAAGAGTCCGAATCAACATGACTACGAGCTCCTCTCTAGCTTTCAAGCCTACCTCATCTACTCAGTCTTGATCTACTTTGGCCCTCAAGGTGGTTTCACAGACACAATCATGATAACCCTCATGGATATGGCATCTCAGACCGCTCGAAATGGCCTCTTCTGTGATGCCGAGTTAGCACGGACCAGACCGACATGGGAATCCTGGATTGTCGCAGCCACAAAACGCCGTGCAATATTCACTCTCTATCTCTTTAGCAACATCTATAACGCGGACCGTATGCTGCCTAATTTCGTCGCAGAGGAGCTCAGAGGCGTATATGCACCGGGCAATAAGGCACTATGGGAAGCGGCTGACCGCGAAACGTGGAATAAGGAGTACGATAGATACCTCTTAGATTGGCAGGATGGAAGCTTGGAAATATCTGAATTATGGCCATCTCCGGAGAAGGAGGAGCCGGAACGGAGGAGAAGGATCGAACGCTGGGTTCAAACAGTTGATGAATTCGGCATGATGATGTACAGTGTTTGTGCCCATATCCATGGTTCCTAATCAAGGATATGCGACTCCAGTTGTGAATTGCCTGCTATTTAAATTCTTTGTGCGCTCATTTCTTTTATATTGTACGATGTATAGTGTACGTTTTGCGATTCACTGTGTATAGAGAGTTATGGATATACATTCGACGCGATGACTCTCCTAGACCAAAGCACCAAGCATGCGACGTTTTTGCAAGGTCAATCCGAGAAAAGCTGATATCCTCAAGCCTCCGGGTCTCTGGCTTGATACTCTGGATCCTCCTCCATAGTCACACCGGCTTCCTCCAACAAACGAGGGAACCATCTCAACATCCGGTCACGAAAGACTTCATATCCGGCTCCTTTCCGCAGCACCTTCATATTCTCCGCATCGAAGTTCATGCCACCGCGCTTGTACACTTGCCATTTCTGTAGACCATAATCCACCACCAAGTCTACCGCATCGATCACCTTGGGCTCAATATCCTCAACCCGGAATCTCTGTCCTTGGCCTGACAGATTGGCAGAAGTCCCGAAGGTCAACATACCCGTCGGGTTATCATCACAAAGGCGACCGAGCTCTCGCAGAAATGGACCTTCAGGAACTGCTATGCTGACCGTATCGCCCTTTGTGACTTGCGATAGCGTCGCCGGTTCGAGAGCTGCCAAACGCGGGTGAAGGTTTTCGGTATCGTATTTAGCAATAATCCCGACAATCATCGCCATATCTTCGGTCAATACCCGTGTCATTTCAAACTTGGCCTCCGAAAGCACGTGAATCTCTCGATGTTGCTTGTATGTCCCGATTATGCCGATGTTGTGACCCTCTCGACGATCCTTGGCTGAGAATATACGCTGGACTCCAGCCTGCGTACTCGTCAAGAGCGCGTAGCCGACATCGGTTGGGATGATGACGACCCCACCGCTTTTTAAAGTGTCGTAGGTCTGTTTAGCATCGCGAGGGACGTTAGGCGCAGTGCCCTGCTCGGGTATGAACCGGGGAGCCATGCACGAAAAACTGTAGTATTGTTGTGTTGGAGTTCAGATACAGGCCGGTGTCGAAGGATGAAAAGGGACGTACCCCCGATGCATGAAAGTGTGGTCACAGAATCTAGAAGGGAGGATATATATAATATATCAAGCTATGCGAGTAAATGCGATCCTGTCATTATGACGCGGAGATACCGCGGTTAGTTCGGAGCAATGCCGTTCGGAGTTGTACCACGGAAGAGATCTCTTCAGTATACAAACTTAATTTCATTTATACACTCGGAATTCCGATGACAGATTTATTTGCCCTCGGAGTTGCAGTAGGTACCTCATCCATATATAAAACTTCAATGGATGGTCTATAGAGCATGTAGAGATTGCTTTCTATCTGTCGCTCGTTTCTATAGAACAACTTTCTTTATATTCCACAGCTGAACTTACAGCATACTACATATCAACTATTACATGAGTGCTGTGTCCTCCAGCATGGATGTCTTATTGCGAGAAAGTGCATTTGGCCGAATTCTCAACTACCTCTCCAATGGCAACCTCTTTCGGGCCCCAGACCATGCAAAATCGAAAAGTGAAGTGACAACGAGCGAGAGTCCATCGCCTACATCTCCAGATGCTCTCGACCTTATCCTTGTGGATTTTAGCGGACCCGATGATCCAGACATTCCCAGGAATTGGCCAATGTTGGCGAAGACAGTTGCCATGATCGATGTGATGTTATTGAACTTCAGTTTTTACGCGGCATCAGCAATCTTCACGCCGAGTATTCCCTTAATCGAGAAGGATCTGGGTGCGACAACTGCCGAAGGAACATTGGGACTCTCCCTTTTCGTTATAGCATATGGCATTGGGCCTCTCATTGTGCGTCGACTTTTTCCATCCACATATGATATTTATCTTGTTTGCTAATGACGGAATGCTTCCAGCTTTCTCCTCTGTCCAATTTACCCTCGATTGGACGCACTCCGGTATATGTTCTCGGCTGTTTTGCATTTTGCCTGTTTAATATTGGGACTGCCCTGGCCAAGAACCTGCAAACCATACTAGTCCTGCGCTTTTTTGGGGGTCTAGTCGGAAGTGCACCTATTAGTGTGGGGGGCGCTACACTGATGGAGGTCTTCAAGCCTAACCAGTGCCCGTATGCGATTGCCCTGTACGCGGTCAGTGGAGTCTGCGGGCCGATTTTAGGGCCGGTATGTCATTTTCCGTCGAGCTACTTGGTGTGTATGAGCTAACTAGGTGACTATAGATACTCGGGACTCTGGTAATGTAAGCGTTGATCCCTTCAATCCGGCAATGTCGATGCTAATGGACATTATAGAGAGCGCTGGCAAACATGGACTGCGACTCTGTGGCTTCTCTCAGGTGTCACAGCTTTTACGACAGTGTTCATATTCTTCTTATTGCCTGAGACTTTGAGCACCAATATCCTTCTACGCCGGGCACAAAGACTCCGCAGACAGACGGGAGACCCTGCATATCAAAGCCAAGCCGAATTAGATACACCAGGCGCATCTCTTGCCGTGCGCATTGCTAGACAAACAGTGGATGACTTCAAACTTTCTTGCACGGACCCGGTGATTTTATTTGTCAACATGCATACGATGCTCATCTATGGCATACTTTACCTATGGTTTGAGTTCTTTCCATTCGGTGAGTTAACCCAATATTGGCCGTACTTGCCCACAAATTACTCACTGGTCATAGTGTTCGATGGAATCTACCATTTCAATGATATTCAACAAGGCCGTAAGTCGCTAACCAAACTCTCCTTGAAACTAATCTAATCTGTAATTAAGTTGCATTCTTCGGTATCCTTGTGGGTGCCGCACTTTCCGTCATTGTATACGTCCTATGGTTATACTTTTCATACCAGCCACGGGTCGCAAATTCGGACATCATCGTCGAACCTGAAGCGCGTCTAGTCCCCGGTCAAATCGGAGCAGTGTGCATTCCGGTCTGCCTCTTCATTTTCGCCTGGACATCTCGAGAGAGGTAAGCGCATGAATGCCGTTTAATCTGCACAAGCCAGCATTAACACAGGTTTAGCGTACATTGGATCGTTCCTATCATTGGAACTGCTTTCTTCGCACCAGGCTTTTATCTCACATTCCAGTCTGTACTAAATTACCTCGGAGAGTCCTATCCAAGATATATAGCAAGTGTGTTTGCTGGAAATACCTTCTTCCGAAGCTCATTCGGTGGTGCATTACCTTTGGCTGCTCCGCAGATGCTGAAGTCGCTCGGTATTGGATGGTCGTCGAGCACGTTGGGCTTCATTTCCGTTGCGATGCTTCCCCTACCTTTTATTCTGGAGCGGGTAAGATACCTTCATGGCTACAAAGAATATGGAGGTTTAGCTAATTCTTCGATAGTATGGAAAGCGTCTGCGCTCGTGGAGCAAGTACGCCAACTAGTCTGGGGATCCAAATCCTTCTTCGGGCTGCTGTACGGGCTGCTGTGGTGTGGGCAGAATGGCCTTTTTGCCCGTTTTAACACCAGGAATAAAAATAATTCTCCGGTCGTCGGCCTCTGCTATGTCCAATCAGTGTCACAGGATTGACCCAGGCCCTATCGGCCCACAGCCTGGGTACGGCCACCATGGCTCGGCCAAATTTCTTGACAGTTATAGAATATCCTTTCCTACTTTCTCTGATTCCTATCTTCAGTTTTTTAATATAACTTTGTAATACAAAATGTTCGTGGTTTCCATGCTATAATTGCATATTGTGTATTGAAGTTGACTTATCCACCACAATTATTGGATGAGATCTAGCGAAATATTCAGACAGTCCATCAATGGTAGTCGATGGTTACCTAAATACAAATCCATGTCATCTAACAATCATTGCCTTCTTCCACATCTTGAGAGTAAGACAGACCTTTTAGCTAGCTAGTCAAGATTCAATGTGCGAAGCCCTTCTAAATGAACGACTCTCTTTCCTACACCCGTTCATGTCAATCCTCCCGGACAGCGCGAATCATCCTACTGAGACCTTCTTCCAAGACGTGTGGTGGATGCGCAAACACCATGCGAAACCACCCTGATTCTTCTGCAGCATAAATAGTTCCCGGCGCGATGTATACCTTTTCTTGTCTAAGCCTAGCAAGGATGTCCTGATCAGTGGCTGTTCGGCTTTTCATCAGAGCGCCCAGGTTCAACCATATAAAAAAGGCCGCATTGCACTCCACGTAGGGAATATTATGGGCCTGGAGAAACCCTGTCGCAAATTGATAGCTTTCTGCTAGCCGACTCCTGTTAGTCGAGGTGTATTCCTCCAAGAACCTGTCATCTGTAAGTAATGATGAGGCGATACGATCTGCAACGCTGGACGGGAAATTATAAAGACTAGATAAGAGAACGGTTAGCATTTGTCCCGATAGGAGGCATATTGTGAGATCCCTACGATATGCCTTCTACTGCGTCGAGGAGCTTCCTGTTGTATTTGCTGATTAGACATCCGATCCGTAAGCCCGTTGAACCATAATCCTGCTCAGTATTAGACACTATTGCTCACAGGGATCACTGAAGAGATGTCAAACTTTGCTTAGCCCCCAAACAACATGCACCATTCTTGGATCCATGAATTCCTCTATTTTGAATGATAATATCGACTTGAAAGTGGACGCATCAGGAAGGCGCGGATTTTCCCAGACAGACTGCGCGTAGATTTCGTCGCTGATCAAATGAAGTCCGTTTCTGGAACAAAACTTCATATACTCCCTCAAGGCATCTTCGGAATAGCAGCAACCTTGAAGTGGTTCAATGAATTGCAACTCCTATTTCTCTTGAATGAGACTGGAACCTACCAAGAGGATTGTGTGGCGAGCACAGCAGTAAAGCCCTGACTTGGAGGCCTTTCCTTTTCGCCTCTGCATAAGTCCGCTCATATTCGTTGATAGCGGTGATGCTGAATGGGTCGGTTGTGCCGAAGGCGACTTCAAGTAGTCCGATCCTGTAACAATCAGCGCTTGAACCACGAAGGAATTGGGATGATGTTCTTTACTGTGGTCGTGATCCAAATATAGTCTTGAAAGCGTTGAAGTAGGGGCGTCCGACGAGGATGTAGTCACCAGGATCGGCTAAAGCCCAAGCACAACACTCGAGTGCGTTGCTGACACCCGACGTGACCGCAATGTCGCACGGATACAATGCGGTTTGGGGGCTGAAATAACGGTTCAAAAATTGACAGATGGCATTTTTAAGCCGATGTGAGCCACTAAACCCGTCCCCGTAGGTTAATACATGCGCGTCAAATTGGGCCTGTGACCGTTAGTATGAGGTATTGAGAAAGCAGAAATGGAAATGATCATTACATTGCTGTTGACAAATTCCATCATCTCTGCATGCATGAGAGTCTGAGCAATATTAATGATCAGATCATAAAGAAGTCCGTGCAGTTTCATCCTACATTCTCGGCCAGACCGAGATTGACTATACCTTCGGGATTGGACTGCGCATCCCACAGATCCCCCAAAACGTCCTGGAAGGCCGGTTTTTGCGCTGCGAGCGCCCTACCCCTTGCCGAAGTAATTTCCATGGTAGGTTCTATGCAACAAAAAGCCCTAGTGAAAGGTTCAAAATGAGAGACATACGATGGTATAAAGTCCCAACTCAATATAGGACGTAGGTTCTTCACATGACGCCACGTGGGGCATGTTTCGGGAAGGCGCATCTGCATCTGGTTGCGGCTATTGCGGGTGGAACGGGAAGATCATCGACATAATTCTCTCTTGAACTTGATCATACCTTCTCTCTTTCTAGAAGCGCGCGCATGTTTCTGTTTCCTAAAATGTACGAAGTGATGGCCGATGACAACCTACCTACTGTCGACTTCATTGATCGCAGGGGGCTCATTCTCGATTCGGAGCGCAAGTCTGTCACCAACATTCACCCCAAAGGCTTCTTTATACGGCATCCCCCTGCACCCCACAAACTTAATGGGGATCTGACACCGGAATCAAAGTTATTCCAGACTATTCACATGGGAGCCGCCGTCGTGGATACCGGGCGCTGGAAGCTCATCGTAGACGGGCTTGTTGAGCGCCCTTTTTCAATTAATCTCGAACAATTACGAAAGATGCCTTCCGAAACAGTCACCTCTTTCCACGAGTGCTACGGCAGCCCCATAACTCCTCCCACAAAGAATGTTTGGCGCATTGGCAATGTCAAATGGACGGGCGTCCCGCTACAATATTTGCTGTCCATTGCTCGGCCAGATCTTGAGCGAGGACAGTTTGTTTGGTCCGATGGCCTGGACTCGGGTGGATTTGCCGGCGTCTCAGCCGATAAGTACCAAAAGGACTTACCCATTGAAAAAGCTTTATCATGCGAAGTTCTTGTTGCTTACGGAATGAATGGCCAACCAATGACTAAGGAGCGCGGTGGACCAGTGAGGTTAGTTGTTCCAGGATGGTTTGGGACGAATTCCACAAAGTGGTTGTGTCGATTATCTGTGCAGGCAACAAGATCGAAAGGGCCATTTACTACTATCTTTTATAATGAGCTTGATCCAACGGACTCCGAAGGGGTCCGGAAAAGACCCGTTTGGAGTGTTGAGCCAAATTCGATGATTGTCCGCCCTCGTCCGGACGATGTAATTGTCGGTCTCGGGTACATTGAGGGCTGGGGGCGCGCATGGGGGGCAGAGGAGATTGTGAGGGTTGAAGTCAGTCTCGATGGAGACAGTTGGGATGAGGCAATTGTGTCACCACGGAAACAGTTTGAGTGGCAGCTATTCTCCTTTCAAGTGGAAGTTCACCGAACCGGGAGACATCACATTCGAGCAAGGGCCACAGATAAATCTGGTGCACAGCAGCCACTAACTGGAAGGAGAAATCATGTTCCAACTGTTCAGATCTGGGTACAATCTAATGTCCCCTAGGGGAACGTATCGCTTGGAGAACAGCAGTAGCTGAGAAGCACTGTTTCATGTGCATAATTGGCCATTGAAATCACCAATGAGCCTTTCGGAGGTTGCTCATAAAGACCGTGGGCATAAGTCTCAAATGTCTCATGCAGGCGACCGTGTGGTGCAGCTGCAATGGTGTCAGTGACGGGTATGAACAGGACAGGGGTTGCCAAGAGCACAACTTCTTGCCAAATGCTCCCTTGGAACGCCATGCACACGCGGGATTACTGCCCTGACGGGACTACCTCCATTAAGTTACTAAACTAGTGGATGGTTTCGAGAATGGACCCGTGGATATATCGTCGAATATATATACACGTCCCTGCTTCCCGCAAAGGGCCAACATAACTTCCTCTTTTGCTAGTCAAGCATTACTTATGCGAAAGATGATGATCAGCCTGTATAGAGGGATTTGGTATACTATACTCTGACCATGCCTCACACCAATACGTGATCACACATACTCATTACTTTCCTAAAATTGTAACCTCCAGGAAAAACAAGTATTCGGTGTTTATTCCTTACAGGCTATATTATTCTAGTTGAACTTTGAATAAGTACATACGACCACAGGGTGTGGAAAACAGGGCTTCCCGTCCGCTCAGCCGTACTTAAGCCACACGCCGGGAGGTTAGTAGTTGGGTGGGTGACCACCAGCGAATCCCTTCTGTTGTATGTTTTTGCCATTTCTATGGCATTATATTATTCTGAGCTTCCCTGGTCTCACTGATGTGTCCGTCCACCCTTGCTTGCATGGTGTAGGTCGAGGTCTACGACTTGCGCCAGAGCCACGACCCGAGGAACGAGACAGCTGCAGCGGCCAAGGTTGACCGGCGAAACTTCAGCTGTGACTGGGATTCTTTTTCCCTCTACTTAAATCCACCAACTAAAGCCCCTTTAACATTTTTCGAAGAAGCTCTTCTCCAAAACATCTCTGAGATCATCCAGACACTTCATCTTACTAATACCTTATTAAATCCATATGGAGGCATCTACCGGGAATAGGGCTTTTTAAAAAAAATAAAGAGCTTTGGAAAAGATTCCTTAGCAAATCTGAAGGAGGTAGAAAAATAGGAAAGAAAGAATTAAAAAAAAAAAAAAAAAAAAAAAAAAATTCTACGTGTCTGTACATATATGACAAAAAGAATACTCATGTAAGAGAGAGATTGGCACTATACCTGATGTAGCCTAGCCTTATAGTTAGAGCTAGTCTATATTTAGTTATCTAAGAGGATACGAATATACGAACAACGCATTGAAGGGTACGTATAACAAGACCCTTTATCTACCCTCTACCCTGTATGGTAGGTGGGTATGATTGCCGTGTTTGTGATACTCGATTGCTGAGTGAATTGCCACTGTGAAGTGCCACTAGCCCTGCTCTTTAAATGAACCCCCGCTGTCTAACCACAGCCTTTGGTTTTTTGGGGTGTTGTGTGATATGTTTTAACTACTAAATTGTTGGGTTCTGTCCAAATAACCACCTCATCTACTTCACAACTATCCCAGCAACCAAAACTGGGTAGAATGACCGATGATCATTCGGCTGCAGTGGACAGGCAAGGCCGGTCAACAATGCCTCTGTTTCAGGCAGGACGCACTTTGCGCTCCGCCTCTATTTCTTCCGCCGCGAGGCTGCTTGATTTTAATCCCGCGGCGGGGGTATGGCAAGCCACAGGGACTGCTATCGCACACGCCCCAAATTTCGCCGATCTGAGATCGTCTGACGAGGTGGCATTTGATTTCCACGCTCGCACTGTACGTCGAAGCAACACTCAACCTGCGATTGACCGCCCTATTCCCCGAAGAGCGACAGCCCCCGCTATCGGTCCTGGCCGCTGGGAAGAAGAGGACCCAGTGCTCCCCCTTGGGGCTCAGCCAGATCGCGACCACTATTCAGATCTCTCTGTGGGAGCTGTTTCGTGGCGCGACACATGCAAAAGATTGCCGCTTGTGACGTGGGAATTCCTCTGCACACCCACGGGCTTCTTCATAACTGTTTACGGTCTTAACGTAATTGCCTGGGGCGCCATGCTATTCTTTCTCTTATTGAATGTCGGATCCATGACCAAGGAGCAGAAGGAGGTTTGGATTGAAATAGATTCTCAGATTCTGAATGGCTTGTTCTGCTTGACCTCGTGGGGTTTGGCACCCTGGCGAATTCGCGATACATATTGGCTACTCCAATGGCGCCTGTGCGACGGCGTAAAATCGAGAAAGTCAATAGAGAAGCTTGCAAAGCGAAACGCCAGCTGGTTCAGATTACAATCTTCCGATTCTGATGAATTGACCTTGCAAACGACCCTGACCGGTAAGGTTGCGCCACCTACCAGCGAATGGAAAATGGACTTCGTCATAATCAACATGCTATTGAACACTCTCTTCCAAGTCGGCATGGCGGCATTTATGTGGTGCTACAACCGGCATAATCGCCCAAGCTACGGAGTTGGACTTTTCATCAGCCTCGGTTGTTTCAGCTCCCTTTTAGCTGGGGTAATGTCATGGTGGGAGGGACGAAAAGTCAAGCGGATTGAAGGGTGTCTTGTAGAAGATATACATGAAAGCCAATATCAGGTAGTTGATACGGTCTGACCGTACTGACCGTATTAGCTTCTTCAAATAAACCATGGCATACATGGCATAAAGTCCAACAAACACTAACTCTGAGACATAAAGATGAGGCCAACTTCTGTCAGGCGTGACAGATATGCCACCGGATGTAGTCTTCCTGAAGACGCAGAGCTGTCAGGCCTTTCCCATCACAGCTCCTGCGTGATTCAGGCAATGGTGGTGCCCAAGGGAGTGGGGGGTGAGGCGCTGGCCAGGCCTTGTGGGTACCCTATTATTGGGCTGCTTTGGAAGCGAATCAGAAGTTGTTCTTTCCGCGTACTTTTCTCCAGCTTCATAACCATGAAGGGGACTGTCTAAGTAAATACTGAGACCTTAGTGGTTGCGGGTACGAAGTCACTGGTAATGTAAAAAAAGCGGCCGCCTGTCACAGATCAAGGTGCTGTAGTGTAGTGGTCATCATGAAACGTTGTGGTTCTCCGCAGCGCCGTTTCGACCTGGGTTCGATTCCCAGCAGCGCCATCAATTGGCGTGTGTGCTTGATTTGTCTTTTTGCTTTTTATATACCGTCTGCGCGTGCTCTCTTGATTTGTTTCTAATTTAAACTTTAACAAACACACCCCACAGGTAACTTATTGTCCGACTAGGTCCAACGATCCGAACGGAAATGCTTTCCGTGAACGCCGCCGTCCCCTTCTCAGGCATGGCGCCGACCATCCATGTAGGCAACACGAAGTGCTAGACCCCAACTTCATAGCCAAACACAGAATGAGAGACAGACCAACCGTACTTTCAACTATTTAGATCACTACGCTCTGACCATCGGGCAAGTCCGGTAGAGTACAGCCTCGTGTGGGGCCAATTCTTCTAGATTGATTTGACTTGCTGACCGAATGGTTGTTGCTTCGAGGCGTGACCGCTCTTCTTCTCGACTGTTTTAATATCAGTACGATTGTAGACATAGGTCTTCCCGGAGTTTCATGGATATTGACCTTCCCAGAGATTTTGCTCGACCCGGGCCCCCAGTATCATCATACCGAAGGTACTGACCTCCGTCTAACCACTGAGAGTTGTTAGCTACACATTGTGGAGAGCCCCATTCTACACATCGCCCCAGACTAAGATAAGCTCACGACACCATGCACCGAAGACATGTTCATGCTCAGCACGTCGCAATATTATTGCCCTAACAGACACTAGGTTGACCCGCTTCCTCCACACGTTTGGCCCCCTTCCTTGGCCCCTTTGGCCCCAGTTCCTGGCTAGGCCTGCCGATCTCCATACAACCCGGGGCGGTGCCTGATCCTGTAGTAGCATTCGAGATTAGCTGCCCCCATAAGCACGGAGAAAAGTCTATAAGTTGCGGCAGGGGCACATTTTCTGTCTTGATCTCCAGATACGCTTTCTACATGCATTGAACAATATACCCCAGAATCCACTTCAATTGAGCCTTCTTATCAAACAACTCAAACAATCACCTACAATAGGCAGACACAGCCAATATGAAGCCACTCCAACTCATCCCGACCCTCCTCCTCTCCCTCGTCCCTTCGCTCACCCACGCCTCCGATAGCGACGACATTCCCTCCGGCGCTAAGCTCTGCCAACCCCAAGGCAAAGGCAGCTGCCAATTCGGCGTATACCAATTATATCCTGGTATCGATTGCTACCACCAAACGATGAACTCCGCCTACCTCTTCGATCACGCATGCAACATCATTGGCCACGTGGAGAACTTCACCCAGGGCGACGCCATGACCTCGCAGCTGCCGTATACTCTGGACATTGAGAACGTTTTTGGTTATCCATCTTGCTACCTCAAATATGAGATTGCGTACAGTGATGGCTTGTATGGGTATAGCATGCCCTCGGGAGGTGTTTGGGATGACTGCGAGAAGGGCGATGACTTTCAGTGCACTTGGTATAGGGTGGCGTTTGACTGTCCTGGATTCTAGCGAATTGTTGTTTTAAATTATGGATGGGATTGGAGTACGGAAAGATTATTTTGCAGGTGGTATAAAGGACAAAATGGTATTTCACAGAATTAGACCGCTCATTCTGGATATGTCAACTCCCGCGCAGTCATATACATAATAGCCCATGAAAAATCATCTACATTGCAAATGAAACTCAAATCACTCCTTAGAGCAACACCCTTCGAGAACCTGCGGCGCCTGCGAAGTATCCAGCCTGCAGAAACACGAGGCCTTGATGGGGACATCCGCCACCGCAAGAGCCAATTTAACCGATTGCTCAATCATTGCTGCCTCATCCAGCTTCCCCAGTCTCACCAAGCACTCATGATACCCCTGCAGCGACCAGACATTGTTAGGATGGCGGCACTGACGAACAAGTGTGTTGTCCAGTCCCAGATCCGCACGATACACCTGCGCTGCTTCCTCCAGATGCCCCTGTTCCATCAGAAGGGCGGCGTACGCGTGGCGGGAAGGCTGCATCCATGACCACGGCTCACTGTAGGGCAACTTATCCTCAATGTCAATAGCACGACGCAGAGCAGCAAAGGCCTGATCGTAGTTCGCACACCGATACTCAATCTCACCTTCTAACATGGCCGCAGCCACCTGGAGCACATCGACAATCTTCCCGTTGTAAGCGAGACGGGTCTCTGGAACACGCTTCCATGCCTGGTTGAACCGTTCTTGCTCCTTACGAGCTGTCGGGACATCCCCAGTAGCGGCGAAGGCGACTCCCCGCGCGTAGTGCGTCATGGCTGTGGTGCCGGAGTAGAGAGTCTGATCAGTTGGCAGCTCTTTCTGTTTCAGCTCCTCCCACATGCCAAAGCGCACCATTACATGCAGCCGGCTGGTTAGGAATTGTTCGAGCCAGTCAGCCATTGGTGGGGACTGGATACGCAGGACATCCTCAGGAACAGTGGCTTCCATGCGTGTCACTGCGTCAAGAGCCATTTGAGATTTTCCGGCGAACATGGCTGCGTAGATCAAGGAATGGTAGTCGTGCATACGGTAGAAGGTGTAGAAGTTGGCAGCACCTGCTTTGCGGAAGTACTTGTCGTCCGCAAGGGTCGAGTTATAGTTAGAAGCAATGGAACGCCTCCAGTCTCCAATGAGGATGTCCAGATGAGTAGGCATGTGGTGGATATGACCGGCATCTGGGACAAGGTCGCGAAGGTTATCGGCTACGTTTATGCCCAGTTCCGGTGTAGGTGACATCTCGATATAATGGATGTAGAGATGAAGCAGGCCGGGATGGAGATTGGCATTCTCATAAGTGAGCGCTCGGTCCAGAACGGCTTTGACTTCCATCGTGGGCGCGTTAGCATTCGGCTTTCCAGTGAAAAGATCCCACAGCGCCCACGGAGTCATGTTCATCAACGCATCCGCATAGAGCGTGGCCACGTCGATATCATCCCCGAAAGCATCGTAAACTAGCTTCATGGCGGCAGCGTAGCTCTTGTTGATGGTCGGGTAATCGTTAGGCGGGGTGTCGGCGACGAAACGAGATTGAATTGCATCGATGAGAGCCTTCTCGAGGGGTGTGGCATTCTCCGCATGCTCCTTGGCCTTCTGTGCGGCATAGAATCCTCGTTTTACACAGGCATCCAAGTCTCTCTTATCGAACCTCTCCCAGGGCTTATTGTAGTTTGGACCTACAGCATAGGCGAGCCCCCAGTATGCCATTGGGCACGTCGGATCATTTGCAATGGCCTGTTCGAAGCAGTAGGCCCCTTCTACGTGATTGAAGGCGTAGACCCATGTTAGACCCCGGTTGAACCAGGTCTGGGTGTCGGCGCTGGTAGTGCTGATAACGTGCCCATAGGAGCCAAGGTCGTAGTACTCCTCGCTTGCTGGGATGGCTTGGACTATTTCTGTAGTCATTTTGCAATGCCTTCCAGGATCATTGAAAGGGAGACTGAACAAAGAAATATCTGCTAGAGAAGACGTCACGATAGATGGGCGGATGAATCGGTCATTTTAGATCTAAATACGAAGAGTACAGCGTTTGTCAAAGGAGGGGGCAAGTGGGTCCCCGGAAAGGCCGAGAGTGGCGCAATCAGTACGATGCTTGACTAATACCCGTTTCATTCGCCGAACTTCAGACGCCGAAACATCCAACTCTCCTTTCTCCCCCAAACCGAGTGATATCTGCATTCTTCCTGGATATACTGACCTGAAGCGATATCCGGATTCAAGAAAAACAGCATTTAATTATAGAGATACAAAGAGATAGGCGAGAAAATATATGCCTTCCACTTCTCGACCGGTGAAGGTGGCGTGTCTGGCCTGGTAAGTTGACGCCAAGTGATGAATCCACGGGGATTGATGCAAGGGACCAAAATCTAACATGAACAGTCGAGCCTCCAAAATCCGATGTGACGGGCAAAATCCATGCGCTAATGTAAGTCAACTGTATTTCCAAATTAATAATCGATCTCTAGTAACCCTGTGTAGTGCACTATCCATCGACAAGAATGCCGGTATCAACCCAGTCGGCGAGGGGGTGCTCGACGGGGCCCTGTTGCTGCCGAGGAGCGGGCCATGAAAAAGGCCCAACGACTGCAAACTGCAACCAGGGTCAACAATCATGCCGTGACAAATGATGATTTTACTCCGGCTCAGATATTGCAGATCAATGCAGCCACCCCGGTTTCTCTTCCATCTCCGTCTCCGATTGAAACCGGATCCCGACTATCCGATACGCTGCAGGGAAAAGACAGCCCGGGATTTCTGTTACCGCCTAGAGGCTCTAGAACTGGTCAGGAGTTTCGAGAGACTGTGAGCCATCCGACACAAAGCCTCCGTGCTTATCGGTGTGATCAAGATCTGTATGTCGTACCCATGCAATATCCCACCGGACCTTAACTGACAGATTCTTCTCCGATCGTACCGTAGGATCAATGCTTACTACATCTTCATACATCCATACCTCCCTCTATTACCCCCACCGGCTGTGTCCCAGTATGTGGACAAGCCTGTGGCTCTGAGCATGCGGTCGGCCCATGTGGATGCATCTCATTTGCCTTACTGGCCGACTACCTCACTTGGCTTGGCCGTAGCAGCAATACTGACACTGATACCCCTACCGGGAGATGCGCCCGCGATTGAGAATGAGGCTGTCACCTTACGACGCTCTTATGCCGATTATTTTGCACGCTCAGCGCTAGATGTATCAGAAGAATCTCTCCAGCCGTCTTCCAATCCCGATCTCACGCAGGGCCCAGGCAGCCCCTTGCATCCGGATATTCCCCGGCAAATGGAGCCGGTCCTGGCATTAGCGCTTCTCAGCCTATACGAATGCTGCCAGCGAGGAAATGTCTCCAAGATGCGCATCCGAGCCAATCAGGCCTTAACCATGGCGATGGATCTTTCACTACATACACAAAAGTCTGCAAATAACTGTTCCGACGCGATCCGTCGCTGTTGGTGGTCGACGGTATGTCACATGTGTTCTCCCATCCATAGCCCATAAGTTTATGTTGACTGTCGCAGATGTTCCTCGTTTATCAGTCTTCTATGTTGACAGCTTCGGTATGTTTGCAATGTTCAAGACGCGTAGGCGTGACTTCGCTAATTTAGTAATATAGGCACCCCTTATTACAAGCGATGACTTCCGCATTACCACGCCTTATATAGTAATTCGTGGTTGTCGAGAGGTACAGAGTCCCCTTCCTTCTCACATCCATGTCTTCTAACAAGCATCAGCCATGGCCCTACGTCGTACAAGCACAATGCCTCCTTCACCGCAGCTGCACCATCACCCGCGAGCTCTCCCACGAAACCACCCATGATCAAGGGTGTCTTCCCTGTTCATTCCACAACGAACTCAAACACCTTGACTCTTCTCTTCTCGATATAGCCACCGAAACAGACCGCTACCGCTGCATAGCTAATTGCCAAGGCACAGAAGCCGACGCGGAGCGCGTGCTCTGGGCAATATCGCGCGTCCTAATTCACACGGCTAGATTGCTCATCCATAGAGTTCGCGCTTTCCCTGACCGTCCTGCCGATAGCTTTACGACTACTTCCAACAGCAGTACTAGCGGAACTAGCACCCCCCTCTCTCCGTCCCGAAGAGCTGAAATCGATGCCATAATGCCATTTGATGAGCAAGAATCCATGCGTATCTGCATTCGCTCTGCGCTGCTGATATCTCGAATTTTCCGTCACCTGCCTACACCGAATCCGATGTACTCTGATACTCCTGCCGATGGAGAGACCTTTGGATATGGACTCGGACTTGGACAGATTAATGGAGACTCGGGGCGATCGTTGACTTCACCACGCTCTTTACCATACATGGCCTGGTGTGGGATGCAGAGCTTCTATGTACTTGCCATGGTATTGTGGCGCGTGCGGGCGGCCTTGTCCGCGGGTAATTTGAGCAGTATCTATAATTTGCTAGATCGGCCGAATGAGCGGACGGCGATACAGGATGCAGAAAGGCTCGAGGAGGAGTTACACATGGGGATTGAGTCGCTGAGAGTGTCAATGAAAGCGGATGGGGTATATGAGGGTGTCGGGAGGATGGTTAGGGAGTTGGAAAGCGTGTATGATGCTACCATGATGGGGTGATCATGGTCTCGGAGAGCGAAGTTGCTTTTAGCCTGGGCAAAGACCAGTTATGGAATGAATCAGACTAGACCTGGAACGGTTAACCTTTTGGGTCAACCTGAACCAGGGCATACCTCGGTTTTCTGTGCGGGGTACAACAATGCGTGACCAATCGGCGTTTGACGGAGTGAGATTTCGTATTTCGGCGGAAACGGTATCCCCACCTCGGCGTCTGAACTCAACCATTCGGAGTAAAGTCGGGTTGGGCGCTATTTTATGTTGACGCAGATTATATCGACGTTTATTGACCAGCTATCGATTTTAATTAAAATAGACCAAATGGCGCATTTGCTAGCAAGTATTCGGCGTCGTTGTAGGAGGACGCGCAAGCTACGATGATTGAAAACCGAGTGGAGGACTGAATGGCATGGCGATCCACTACATCTCGTACCCTGATAACTGTGGAGCATGCTGAGCATGCCCAGGCTGAATAGAGCACAAGTCTCTAGAAAATGTATACAAGAGACATAGTTCTCACTGATAGGCCTATAACACTTATCTGTGACAAGTTCAAACCTGGAATGTTAAATGATGATACCCTGGACCCGAATTGGAAGCTGGTATTCTTACTAGTAATAAATGTTACCTGGTTTGCAGCCAATTGGATGATTTTATTAATTATAGACGAAGTACGAGATAGTATTAATAGTTATAGCCTAAGCCAAGTTATTTAGTGGTGATCTTTGCGTAAATCTCTATTTGCTGCACATTTTATATATTAATCAGGCTATATGGCCATCGATCCACGTATAAATGCTTTCTACTGTGATTTCAGGTTTCTCTATTAGCACAATACCGTTGTCGGTAGTCGACAGCCATTCTTTCGAATAAATTATTACTAGTTAAATATATTTGAGCGTGGTATTGCATCTGCAGACACAGTTTCGCCCACCGGAACTCGTACAAAAATGATCAACAATTGAATACGATCAAACAAGTGGATATGAATATAATACTATATAAAAAGACCATCCTTACGGTACTACTGTGACGAAGATAGAGTACAGAATCACAATGTTGAAAATGATAATATAAGTGTGGATCAAATCCACGTAACGGCCATACGCCAAGCCAAACTTCCAATCATCCATCGGCCATTTCCGCAAAGTATCCCCCCACCATCCATTCCCTTTGCCATAGAGTTCAGATGGAATAACTATGGTTACGCGAACCCAAGAGACGGAGTAGCGCCATCCCATTCTGTATCGGGATTGCAGGCATTCCATCCCGGGCCGTAGTGGCACGATGTAATGGACTTCGCCGCACGCTTCCCTTCATAGTACGCACCATGCAGAAAGCCCGAGAAGCTTGGGCTTGTAGCCTCTCCAGCAAAGAAAACCCGCCCAACATTCGCTCGGAGATTCCGATGGGTCTGGGCAGATACTGCGGGTGGCCAGTTCGAGTACGAGCCGTACGACCTGAACAGTCAGTTAGCTTCAGAAATTCCAACCAAGTGACTAGGGGAGAATCCTACCAAGGTTCTTGCGTCCACCTCGCATAGTAAATGTCTATCGGTTCCGGGATGGTCTTATCCGCAAAGATCTTGCGCAACACTTCCATAATCTCGGCTTGGGTCTTGTCCTCGCTTTGCCGCTCAACCCGATGCGCCTGATCGTTGACAACAGTAACGACGAGGATATTCGATCCTTCCAGCACCCCGGGAACATCCAATGGCTGAAACAGTGGATAATAGCCTCTAGTATTCGGGTCGGCGTAGTACAGATACTGGTTTTTGGGCCAGAAGGAACGCGGAAATTGCATGAATATTTTGGTATACGTGACCATTTCGAAGCTCACAATGGCATCTTTCTTCCACCTTGGTAGTTCGGGTGTAAATTTCACAGCTTCAGGATGTTGCAGCACACCCAAAGAAAATGTTATAATAGCGTACTTGGCTCGCACACATTTCCCATCCGTGCTATATGCTGTCACGGAGTCATCGTCGTGCTCAATCTCTTTGACGATGGTGTTTTTCCGAAGGCGCCAAGCATTCTGTCCTTCGAAGAGTGGATCTGCTACATGAAGAACTTGGCCGTCGCATTGGTCGTTGCTGCGGTATAGATCTCGGAAGTCTCTTCCGCCTTGGCTGCTGTGACCGAGTCAAATGCCAGATAGTCGGCCAGTTGCTCGTACTGGTTTGTCTCTTTCGGGTTCCATCCCTTCCGCCAAAGGGCCGCGCGGTATGTGCGGTCTTCGAGGTGGTGGTGAAGTCGGAGGCCAGCGTCGGCGAGGACCTTGGAATCGGCGTCGCTGACAGCTTTCAGTGCGTTGAACAGGAGCTCGGGTGGTATTTCTCCCGTCTGGTCGTATACCGTGGCATTCTCAACATCACTGGTTCTGGTGTACGTTAGTCGGCTGTGTAGTATTTAGTATTGGTGAGGGAGGACATACAGTGTGCGGAGGTTGGCTTTAATAGCCTGCCTTGGCTGTCAGTCATCCTCTTTGCTAGAATAATGCGTACCCGTGAATCCTACCAAGTCCCAAATGGGATTCACATGTGTTTCAGGTCCTCCAGTTCCGTGTACCTGGCACCCATGTTAGTTTTACACCTTTCAATAAGGGATCGGGAAATAGTAGCACACCCAGTTAGCCCCAGCCTCCACTACATATTGTTGCCCTTTGCCAAAGGTAACCTCGTGCATCCGCCCACCAATACGGTCCTGATATTCTAGTACGATAAAATCTTCGACACCGTTGTTGTGCAGTGTTTCCTGCGATCATCAGCATGGCCCCACAAAAGTCGCAACTCGAGCATACTGCAGCAGTCACGCCCGCCACACCGGCACCTCTTCAGAACGTCAGCTCGAATGGTAGAAACCTTCAATTCTCGATCGATAGAGAGCCTTACAATATGACCACCTCAGTTTCCGTACACGTTCTAGCATTTCCCACTACCGCGAAGGCAGTGAGGGTTGCTGCTATTCTGGCGAATCCCATGGCCCACTACTGCTTTGGTTGGCCTCGGTGGCCACCATCACCTGAGGGGTTATACCACATTTTATACGGTAATCGGACTTTGATTTTCATTCTTTAATTTCTATAGGACCCTTCTGTGTAACACTCATGAGGAATAATATTATTCGATTGGGCAAATCTCCAGAACCTTGCATATTCTGGGGTTGTGCTAGGAATCTGGCATTTATGCGAAAGGGATGCAGGGCCAGGAATCACAAGCGCGTCGCGTCTGCATGGTTGCCTCGATATTGACATGAGAATTAAGTGGACCCATGAACGTTTATAGATTACTCCTGCCAATATTTGGGTTTTGTGTTTGCATCCATAGTGGTAAAAAATGGGAGTATGCTACAAGTCTTTCAAGGAGGAAGACTGCGTACAAAGTGCACATGAAAATTCCAAGATTTGTAGGGCCTTTATCGCCTCGGTACATTTACTTCCTGATACAGAAGGCGGTATGCAGTTTTCTAGACAAAATTTAATCATAAAAACAGACTAAAGACAGAAAAAGAAAGCGAAGGGATAGAGTCGACATTGGAGAGGGAAAGAGTACATCTCACCTAAAATACGAGTTCAATTGTCCTCCAGCTCCTTGTTGTACTACTAATCCTTTAAATCCTTCCAATCCTCCGGGCCTCGGGTTCGGCGACTTTTGAGTCTCGTCACCGGGGGAAATTCTGCTCGTAGTATTTGTAATCATGCCATCACCTCCGCACCAGGTTTCGAACTTTCGAATCTTATTTTTCTTCTTCTTTTATTACACTTATCTTCTAAGATTATTTTAGATCCTGGCACTAGATCCCGATCAGTAATTATCTTATCAAAGTCAACATGGCCTCGTCATCTGTCTCCCTTAAGGCCTCGGCCTTTTCATTCGTTGTTCTGTCGGTCGGACACACGGTATGTCAGCTCTAGCTCCTAGGAAGCTAGCTACCCATGGCGTCATTGAGCCCTACTGCTGCATGAGCTCCAATGGCCACAATAACGAGTCTACAAAGCTCCTATTTCAATCGACAGACCCTTCTCTACTCACATCACACATCAATTCATTCATGTGCTAACTGTCAATAACCAGCTCGGAGGGACCCAATGGACCGCCGAACCAGCCTATCGCACCATCGCTGGCACCAAGCCCTGGGCTCTCGGCATCGTCGGCTGGTTCCAGGTACTTCATCCACCATCCTTCATAGCAAATCGCAAGACAACCATCGATACTAACAATACATCTAGGGAAGCGCCTTTCTCTTCACAACCGGTAGGTGTTCTCCATATTATACCAAAGCAAGAACTCAATTAATAATCCTCATAGGCATCCTCCATTACCAATGGGCCCGCAACCCCCGAGCCCTCCAGGAACCTACTAACAAGGCCATCGCTATCATTCTCAATGCGGCGCTGTGGGCTAGCTCGGCATGGTATTTCAAGCATGGTATCAATGAGAATGGATGGGCTGTCGGGGCTGCGGCTGCGTGGCAGGCTTGGTCGGTTGTGAGGGCTTGGTTAAAGTATTAGATTTTGGGTTAGATGATATATAATATATGGGGGTAGAGTAGTAGATTTGACTGAAGAATATTACTCGTATTTAGTATTGTTAGACATTCAAAGCTCATTATTACAGCAATAATCACCCGCTACCACCCTCTCCCCGACTCTCAGCCTTCGACACATTATCCTCTCCATGCCCTGCAAGCACCCTCCGGATCATATCCTCTCTCTCCTCCAACGTTTGCAAATACTGCAGCCGCTCTCTACTCCTCGCCACTCTAGCTAATTCCTCCTGTAGCTCTGACGAACTCATCCTTTCGTACGCTACTACTGATGCTGTCGACTCCCCGTCTCCAACGCCATCAGAAGATAGCTCAGCCGGCGCTTCACCCAACGTAGCCGAGGCTGACGGTGCGACCTCACCACCCACAGCACCCTGCTTAGCGTTCATTTCATCTACCCCAACAGCTCCAGATACATCTTGTGTATCATCCCGCCTCGGCCTTCGAACAGACCCAGTACTTAGCTCAAATACTGGCCGATCAGCCGAATTATGTACGGGCCGACTATCAGATTCGTTGAGTGGTGCGCCGTCGATCTCGGGGAGTACAGTCGTAATGTTCTGGGCCATACTTGGACCCTTGCCTTCCGCATGCTGTATCGTTGTGGCCTGTCCGCTTTCCTCACTGTTACTGACATCACCAGCCTGTTGCTTCCTCTTCCTGCGCCTTTGAAACCAAGCAAATATTAAAAGCGCGATGATAGCAACGCCAATGGGCACCGCAACCCCAATCCCGGCCTTAGCGCCTGTAGACAAACCTCCCGCATTATTGCTATTAGATGAAGACGTTTGAGTCGCCACAGATGTCATGCGCATTGTTGAGACGAGGCGGGTTTCTGTTACTGTGACGACGTTGGGTTGTTCGGAAGTAGTTGTAGCGGTGTTGTCATCTGAGGATGTCGCGGTACTGAAAATTGTTTGTGTTGTTATTCCGATCCCGGACTCAGGGGTCGTGGTAATGACCTCGGTGATTACTGGTGATGAAGCCTCGGTTGACGATGTTGATTGTGTGGAAGCGTAGATTGTTGTCACGATGGAGTAGATGGTCTGCGCATCGTTGATAAACTCGGCTCGGCGGTCGAGGTTAGCATTTGCGGTCATGTATTCTGGGAGGTTTGGATGGATGTTGAAGAGGTCGCAGAGGGAGAGGAGTGAGTTGGGTGTAACTGTTTATTGTGGGTTAGGACGTTAGCTGGTTGGAAGACGGGGAGGGTATACTGACGTCGCTGGTCGGGGTTGATGGGACATTGGTGGAAACACGATAGGAATTGTGCAGTTGCTGCTACTGTAGATATATTGGCGCAGAGACATGTGTAGTCGGTATGTGAGCAGGTGGAGAGAATTTGGGGATAGAGGCAGTTTAACTAGCATGATGAGATTAGTGGAAGGTAGGGGCTGTGGATCGGGTTCAGTACTGAGCAGCGGGGGACATCGCGGAACTTGTGAGCGACGAGGTGGCTTCTAGAGGTAGCATCTTCGAACAGTGAATATTGTGTGTTGATTGAGAAGAGTTGTCGTATAGCTTGTTGGAGGTTCATGGTGGCTGGCTAAGGATGTGCCCTGCATGCTGTAACCAGTGGGTAAACGAAGCCTGTGGCGTCGGGGTTCGGAAAGAAGTTGGGGAAATACGGGGGACCACCCACATTATCTATGGAGACAGGTTGGGGTAACCTATTTCTTGAATTGTCCTGGCACCGTGCAGGGGAGTAGCGGCCAGTGCCCAGATAGATCATCGTTTGTAGTGAATGGGCATCTTAAGAAAGGTACCTTACTTCCCCGCCCGCTGTCATTCCCACATAATCTAGTATCGTTTGCTGTATTATGACTCACAATGCTCGAGGTATAACCGTCATTATAAGCGGATCCAACATGAAGTTGACAAAATTCAATGTTCAAACAGCTGGCAAAGAACCGTGGGATTCCCAGGTGTGGAATGTTTTGGCCTATGTTTTGGTCTCAGAATCGCCGACATGGAGTAGCCACGAGCACGCCAGCTGCACGCCGCCGGGAAACTTCAAAATAGTCTAACATACAATAGGCAGACGGCAGCAGCTAAATGCAGCTGGTGACCAGGGTTATAGGACTTTGATTAAGCTCATTGGTGAGCCGGGAATCAATGCTCGGCGCTAGCCGAAGCCAGCGCATGGCGGTTCCTTATCTATCCGTGGATCTCTCGGTTGGGAGCCGATCAGCGTTATTCAATAATGAGTATGTCGGTGCTTACACGGACTGGACTGCCCTATTTATATATTTATGACTACATGAGTCTTTTTATAGTTGAAGTGTATACAATATCTTGAGGGTCGTATTACCCATATCCTGTCACAATCATGCCGCCGTTCCTCCCGTCCGGACCTTCCGCGGACTCTCCGAACAACAAATCTCCGTCTCACCCTAATAGCTATAAAACCCACACAATCCCATGATTCTTACTACAGAAACAAAAAGTTCATATCACTGGTTCACATTAAGGTTCACATTAAGGTTCACATTAAAAATGTCCTCCCCAACCGTCCTAATAATCGGCTGCGGCATCGCTGGCCCTGTCCTCGCCGTACTACTAAAGCGCAAAGGCTACAACCCTATTGTATTCGAAAAGGTTCAAGCTCTCGGCGATGCCGGTGCATCATTGATGATACAGCCAAACGGGTAAATATTCTTTAGTTCTTACCACCCCAATCTATGCAACATCTCATTCACTAACAATAACATTCTCAGGATGAAAATTCTCAATCTGATCACCCCTAATAATCCCCTCCCGGTCATAACCCCCCTCCAAGCCCTCTGGCATGGCACAGCTAGCGGCAAAACCCTCGGCCACTCTACTCTCCCCTCGTCCTACGTGGACCGCTACACCCAGCCCGCAAGTGGAATAAAGCGCAGCGTACTCAATCTTCACCTGAAGACCACTCTCCAGGAACATGGTATCCCACTGTACGAAGGATACCAGCTCGAGAACATCCACGAACCCGCGAACCAAGTAACCGCAATATTCACCAACGGAGAATCAATAATAGGCTCATTCCTCATTGGCTGCGACGGGATCAAATCTTCCACTAGAAACATCCTTCTCACTCAAAAAGCAGGAGTTGCCGAAGGCCCACCGACATTCACTGGCTTGATTCAAGTAGCGGGGATATCCAAGACCCCTCAGTCCATGGCCAAGAGAGATATTTCCCTAAGTAACTGGTATGGCGAGGGCGTACATGTTGTCGCATATCCTATTTCTACTGAGGATATTTCCTGGGCGGTTACCATCCCAGATACAGAGGGGGAGGATAGTACGTGGCGGGCTGCTACTGCTGGAGCCGAGCTGGAATCTTTACGAGGGAAGCTGAGAGAGAGATTATCTGGCTTTGAAGACTGCGTTTTGGAAATGGTAAACACCGCAGATCGGATCATCTCGTATGGTCTGTTTGACCGCCGGGAGGTTCCTGCCGAACAGTGGTTTTCTGATCGTGTAGTATTGGTCGGTGATGCGGCGCATCCGACGAGTCCGCATTTGGGGCAGGGGGCAAATCAGGCTTTGTAAGTTATACTGTCTCTTTATAAGAGGGTGATTCGTGTGGTGCTAATGTTAGTTTGGGTAGGGAGGATTGCTTTTATCTTTGTCGCATGCTTCCGGATCTGAGTTTGGATAAGGCGAACTGGGGTGTGGTCGAACAGGGGCTATCGGGTATATTCGAGGAGTTTGCGCGGTTGAGGCAGCCACGGACCTCGATGTTGGTAAGGGAGGCTCGTCGGCTTGGGGAGCAGCGTGTTGTCGTGGGAGGGCCGGAGCGGTGTCGCGAGCGCGATGCAAGTATTGCGGATGCTTGGAAGGATGAGAAGGCTGTGGCAAGGGGTTTGGATGGATTGTTTAGAGAGCCGTTCTGAGGGTGGTTGCCTACTAACACTGGGAGATATTTCTCGGGTAAAGTATGTTCTAAAATGTGTACATAATGTTCAGTGAACGATCATGTTCACTATGGGTCGTTCATCACAGCGTAATCTACTTCGCCTCAAATCTACAAAACAGTCTGATAAATATTCTCATCCACATCAGATGATTTTCCCTTCCACTCATTCAGCCACACCCCCACAAACCTCACCACTTCCTTATGCACACTAACAATCTCCTTAGGCGCCTTCTCGCCATCCTTCTCCTGCTGTCCCGACAATCCGTTCTGGTCCCAGTGATGGACTGCACCTCTCACACCATCCCACACATCCGCCGCCGGGATATCCAACAAAATAATAGGCTCGCTATCAGTCGACTTCCGACTTTGCCAGTCGACTCCGTCTGCCAGTGGTGTCGAATCGCGCCACGGATCTGCCAACCCGCCAATTATCGCGACGCGCGGGTACGAGAAATTGAACCCGCCAAATTGGTTGATGCGCTGAACATCTGGCGGTGTCTTGATACCAAATGTGTTTGGGCAGAAGGATGAAAGATAGGGCAGGTCAAGGAGACGAGAGATAAGGGGCTTTATATTCAAAGGCACCGAGGAGCCCGTGGTGAAATATCCCCATTCGACGCACACTTGGTAGTTCCAGCTAGTGCCGGAGTCCTTAGTGAGGGGTTGTGGAACAGTGGAATTCGTGACGTTGGATGATGAGGATTCCGAGGATGAGTCGGTGAAGACTTTCGAGGTACTGAGGAACCCGATCCAGTTGAGGAAGTTGTTGACCAGGGTTGTGTTGGAGGGATTGTAGCCTGCAATTTGGACCAATTGCTTGACTGATGCGGAGATGGGCTCGGCGGTTTCGGGGTACAGCAGATCCGAATTGGTGATGTTGTTACAGAAAGCACGGAAAAGAGGAGTTCCGATAGACTTGTCCCAGTTGCGGGACTGGAATGAGTCCAGACCGTAAGAGAGGGAGGAGACAAAGTCTTGGTTACCGAGGTTGGTTGCGGAGCCTCCAAAGGCGGATTTCAGTTGCTGGGCCAGAGTTTTATTGTCGGCGTGATCGATGAGAATACGATCCACGATATCGATTGACGTCTGAAGGGTGGA